GGGACTCGCGACCTGACTCGTCGAGTCGTTCTTCCGACTCGCCGAGTCGCCGCCATGCAACATATTTTTACTCGATTTCTCTTGAATCCAACACATGCAAATGATAGATCTAGGTCCATTAAGCTGTTTTACCACGTAAAGTTTCCAACTTTACGTGCACAACCACATGAATGAGGGAAATAAGACTAAAATATGCACAATAAGGGTAGATCCATGGCTAATAAGCAATGTAACTCCAAAAAGACAGTGGATCTGGACTCTACAAACCCCAACACTCAGATCCAAAGGTATTTCGGCTTAATAACACATTCAAGCAAGCATAAAGCTTGGAACAAGCATCAAATAGCCCTTAAAAGAGCTCTAATGGAAGTTTAAGCATGAAACCAGAAGAGAACTCCAAAAATACCTCAATAAGTTCACACTTGACCTTGGATCTTGGCACTAGAACTCGTTTCCTTGCTTCCTTCTTCACCCCTTCACAAAATGGAACAAGATCACTTATAAGCTCACAAGAGGAAGGTTTAGGGTTTCTCACAGTGCTCTCAGGGGGAAAGTGACGAGATGGAGGCTATAATGGGGTTTAAATAGTGAGCAAACCCGGGGAGTTAGGGTTTCACCCAGACGGACGGACTTGCCGAGTCCAGGATATGGACTCGCCGAGTCGCCGGCTCCCGCGTGCACAAGATGCGCGACCTGACTCGGCGAGTCAGGCTAGAACTCGCCGAGTCCCTCTTGAAAACTTAGCCCAAAACCAAATTAATTAACATACCGGAAATGGGTCGTTACAGTTGTATTTACTTTGAACACTATTATACACGTTGTTGTGATACTATACATGAAGTCCTCCACCCCAGACGTTTCAGCCATCCGTGGTTTAGGGGTGTGACAATACTCATTTTTGTGATACTATACGTGAAGTCTTCCCTCCCCCCCCTCCCTACGGACATTTCCGCCATCCTTGGTTTGGGGGTGTGACATAACATACAAAGGGTTGTAACCCAACATGTAAGTAGCTCCAACTGAACATATAATAAATGGGCCCAACCCAACATATAACAAATGGGCCAACCCAAAAAAAATAACAAATAGTCCCAAACCAACAAAATAACAAATAGGCCCAACCCAACATATGACAAATGAGCCCAACCCAACATATAACAAATGGGCCCATCCTAACATATAAAAAATGGTCCCAGCACAACATATAACAAATACGCCCAACCCAACATTAAACAAAACGGGCCCAAACTAACATATAAAAAATGGGCCAAACCCAACATATAACAAATTGGTCCAACCCAACATATAACAAATGTGCACAACCCAACATACACATGCAAGAGTCACAAAATCAGCTAGCATCCTACACATTATAGTTAGAAGACTCATATGAACTACTCAACAGAAAGGCAACAGCCACCTCAAGAATAGAACGACCAAACTAAGCTTCTTAAAGCCACATCGAGACCAGTCCTTAGTAAAATACTCAATTCTACTAAAATTTGACCAAAAGTTAAATTGGTTGAAAACTCAACGGACAAAGTTAACTCCATCTGACGCCCATGTCGTGGCCAACCCATTGCTACACCATAGCCTATCAATCTAGTCCCAATCAAAAATTACAACCACGCCGTGGTATACATGCCACCACGCTATGGCAGAATCCAAGCAAAATAGATGTGATAAATCTCGCCACCACGCCATGGGCCTTCCTTGGCCATGTCGTGGTTTCCTATTAGAAAAGCTTTACTTCAATAAGATCTTAATCCATAAGGACCAAAGCTAAAAGCATCAGATCTAATTCTTAGTAGCCTCATAATGGATAAAGTTTCCAACTTTTTCCATTCGGATAGTCAAAGGGACCAATAATGCATCTTTCTCAACTTAATCCATTAAGTCCAAGTCTCCAACCTTCATATCTGAGTCAACATGATGTTTAGATGGATAAAATTTTCAACTTTATCGATAATAATGTCTCAAACTTTCAAAATCTAAACTATAAAACATCAAAATAACCTAAAGGACCAAGATAACTTCCATGCCTAAAATGGAAGGGAAAAGATAATAACTTTTCTAGGGCATGAGGTCCAAGAAGGATTCTAAACTAGACATATAGTGCCTTTAGTCGAAAAAAACTTGAAACATCAATACTTGAAACAAAAAAAACCTTCTTGATCTTTAAGCTTCACTAAAATACCATAGAAAAAACATCCAGAAGATGAGAAAGGAGAGGGGAGGAGCTCAAATATTGAAGATGGAGGCTAAGGTTCTCCTAAAGGGTCCTAATTATTACGAAGGCTCATAAAATGGCCAAGAAGTTGGAATCTTATGCTTAAATATGTTGAAAACCATAAAAATCATGGGTTAAGCCAGATAGACTGCTACTCCATGGCAACGTTTCTCCACTCCATGGTAGCTGTCACGTCGTGCAGGTCTATTCTCCAGTCCGTGACAACGATGTTTCATCCAAATTCTTTCCAGCTTCAACCAGTCATAACTTGTTCGTTTTAAGTCTGTTCTTAGCGATCTTTATATGCATGAAAAGGTATTGACGAGCTTCACCACCCTATCGAATTAATTTTCACTTAAAACATGTTGAACTAAAATCACTAGTTTATGCAAGAAAATTAAAGCATCACTTTTCCTATTTTACCCTTGGTTCCAAAACACAAATCAAGGGCTTAGATCACATAACCAATATTATCAACGACCAAAAAGGTCTAAACCTTATTTCTTTGAAGCCCAAGGCCTTCACATGATCAAATTATGGTCCAGAATCCTGAAATAAGAAACATCTCAAAATTGGATGTTACAAAATATATATATATATATATATATATATATATATATATATATATATATATATATATGTATATATAGACACACACGAACACATGTAAGAATAAAAGTATATTATTATTTATGTCATTTAGCCAATGATTAGGCTAAATGCATTAAATATGAATAGCTACATTTTTTATTTTTAATATAGCATTGTACCTTTTATTATATAAAATACATTGTTAATTATATATTTTAATGTACTATATTATCAACGACCAAAAAGGTCTAAACCTTATTTCTTTGAAGCCCAAGGCCTTCACATGATCAAATTATGGTCCAGAATCCTGAAATAAGAAACATCTCAAAATTGGATGTTACAAAATATATATATATATATATATATATATATATATATATGTATATAGACACACACGAACACATGTAAGAATAAAAGTATATTATTATTTATGTCATTTAGCCAATGATTAGGCTAAATGCATTAAATATGAATAGCTACATTTTTTATTTTTAATATAGCATTGTACCTTTTATTATATAAAATACATTGTTAATTATATATTTTAATGTACTATCATTTGTAGCAGGTAATACTAAATATAAAATATAATGATATGAAAAATTAGGTATGGAAAAGAGAAATTTTTTTATTATTTAAAATAATCATTTTTGTCTTTTTAGTTTGATCGTTATTTTTAGCATTTTTGTTATTTTTTGTAACTTGAAGATTTTAAAAACAAACAAAACATAAACACTTTTATCATTTTAACATTTTTAGTCAATTTTTTCAATTTTATCATTTTGTTCATTTTAGTCACTTGGACCACTTAAAAACAAATATAAAGAAATTTGTAGTGATATATTAACTCTCTCAAAATAGAAAGTGTAGGTATATTAGTCACACCATTTTGATTAATTATCAATTTTGTTTATTCTTACTATTTTTTTCAATTTTTTTTAACTTGCCCACTTAATATTTAAAAAACTATATACTATGTTTTTGTTAGAGTCTACCTTATTTTAATTTGTCAACCCTATTATTTATGAGTTTATAACCTAATCTTCTATAAAACTAATAATGATATTAAGGGAGGAGTGCATTACGTCAGTACTATAAAGCTGCATATTTAACTAGTAGTTGCATTGTTTTCTTATTTCTTAAAAAAATAGCAAAATTGATTATTTTTAAATAAATTTTATTTTTTATTTGTTATAGAACTATTTTTAATGGTTTATTGAACATATATTACATTTCTTGACAAAATCAAACGATTTTAGCCAATACAATTACAACAGGTCTTTCCACTTGATCAAATCCGTTGTATATAGGGTCGGTTCCGGTTCAACCGACTAAATTGATTGGTGTGACATTAAAACATGGACAATTGACTTTATAGAAAACTCAAAGAATCAAATAGTTTGGGCTCTCTAAATTTGTTCATTTTTATGTGTTTTTTTCCCCCCTTTTTTTTAACTTGACCCACTTAATATAAAAATACATTATAATATGTTTCTGTTACTATATATCTATAATATTTTAATTTGTCAACTGTATAATATACGGGTTTATAAGGTAATATTTTATAAAACTCAGGATGATGTTAAGGGAAGCGCCAATGACATGAATAGTATGAAACAACATATTTAACTATTAGTTGCAAAGTACATATTTTTAAAATAAACATTAGTTTTTATTGGTTATAGAACTATTTCCCCATTTAATGAACATATTTTGCCTATTTTTAAACAACCGGTCTGTCCACCTGAATCGGATGTATATACGGGTTCCGGGTTGAATTGCTTGAACCTATCGATCCATTTTTCAAAACATTGACAATTGACTCTATGGAAAACTCAAAGTCTAACAAGCTTGGGCTCTCCAATTTGTTTATTATCCTATTTTTTAAATGTTGTTTCCATAAATCATTACTATAAAACTCAGGGTTTCAGTTACTATTATATGTTTTGCAATGAATATTTAAAGTTTTTATTCGAATTACGTACATGAGAGCGCGTTGATCAAAGACTTTCCATGTATGTGGAACTATCTCTTTCGAGAAAGAAGCATTTATTAGAATTAATTGAATCAATAAATAACGGGCTATTTGACTAGCCGCAAGAAATTAATTGACACTTTCAGTAATATATAAGAGGATCTAGCTAGATTCTAATAATCTAATTCCCTCCTTCAATTATTGTCAAGGCATTGCCTTTTGGTTGTGAGTATGCTGATGATGACGACGACCATGATGGTTTGTCTTAGAAGAACGACCTTTAATATGATCAAGTTGGAGATTATGATTTTTTCCCGATGGAACATTTTCCGATGCAATTCTTAGCAAATGAGTTAGCGTGCTCATGGCTTGAGATTGCTGAGAAATGATGTTGCTTGTTGATGGATTTTCTGACAAGGTTATTTCATATCCATCGCAGTAAGAAGCCATTCCATCCGCCATAAGCTGCCACACTAAACCACCACCAACGGTTCCTCCAGTTCTGGCCATCATATAAATGTTTCTATAAACAGCATTCAAGTACGAGTCCCTTTTGTTAATGTTATATTCTGGATCTTTGCTAGACTTCCCAAATTCAGCAATCACAAGTGGTTTCTTAAGGATAGTTTTTGAATCCTGGTAATGACTCCACATCCATCTTTGCACAAATGCCATTTGTGACTCTTCATTTTGTCCAGACAACCTGTAGCATAACCAAAATTTGAATACTTAATTACCTTAAATACCCTCTTTTAGTTGCTTTTTTGTATTTATAGATAATGAATGCTGTTGTTTAATGTTATCGAAAGTATTACCATTGATCAGGATATGCATGTATGGTGGCAAAATCGATTCCCCTAACAAGATTATTGCTGATGAAATCAGTTCCAACTTGGTAACCGGGGTTTATCTGCTTTCGTTCAGGCATTGTGTCGCCATAAAACCCTTCCATGCCAACCTCCAATAGATGGTGTCTATCCAATGATCATTTGACGAAGGAAGCCATTTCTTCAACCCAAACCTGCAGCAAAATGCATGTATGTCGTGGTCAGAATTCATAAATTACACTTCCTTATAACGTATATATATTAATGTTTAAAGATTCTTGTAATTTATATCTTTACATGGTGTCACTTACATTAACTGTTCTTCCAGAGTAATCAGCCTCGCAGCGGGGCTCGTTTATGAGTTCCCATGCCATGATTGTGGTGTCGTCACGATATGCGATCCTGGTGATAGTATTCACCCTTGTTATAACTCTCTGCATGCAGTCATCGGTATGCATATAAGTTCGGTATGAAAACACAAGCAAGGTCGATCGATATATAAAAAATACATAACATTATTGATGTTGATTCTTCAACTTTTTCTCAACAATTGATGCTATTGAACGCTTACTTACTTGGACGTGGTTCTTATAATACCCTTTTACTATTGGGTTGGTATAGAAATCGTCGTCACTGTTGATCTCAACGCCAGAACTTCTTGCCCAGTTAACGTATTGTTGTCTCCCTCCAAAGTCTTTGTAATTGTTAACAAAACTTAATATTAACCGAAGACCATATTTTCTTGCTTCTGCCACGACGAAATCTAGTCCCTGCGAACCAAACCCACGTTTAATGTAAGAACACCATACAATATGAAGGAAACATGATCAAAACTAGCTAAGAAACATGTTTGTTGATACCTGAAAAACACGTTCGTCGTATGCTCCTGGTGAAATCTGAAGAGCTTTGTCGCCACCATCATCAAAAGCCCATGTTCGGCATACAGAAAGACCTGCATTTGCAGCATCTTGTAGGACTTGAGTTACTTTCATCCTCTCGCTTGGATCAGTGGCAACATTCATCATCCAATACGCATTAAAACCATTAAATAGAAAAGGGGACCCATTGAGAACAAAGTTAGGTCCTTTGGTTCGAACAAAGCCGCTTCCTTTACCCCTGTGAACCCTAGCTTCACATACAGAGACAAGAAGTGTCATGTATAGAACCACAAGAACGCTCCATGAAAGATGGGAATTTCTGATGAATGAAGCCATTGTTGGTCGAAGTTTTGAATGCATAAGCTGTTGGGAAACGATGCTATATATAATGGGTCGTAGATAAAGAAGTTTGCTAAATATAGAAATCGAAAAAATATTTAATGAAAGGCAAGAGAGCAGGAATTGAGCCTCGTTTTCCTGTGCTACAAGATGGGCATTTTACGGCGGTTATAATATTAATATTTTTAAGAAAAAGACTTATGGGGCAAGCAAGTAACAAACCATTGTTGTAGGTATATAAGGATGTACAGATGTGGATTTGTTCACCAATTCTGGTATATATCGTTCGTTTCAATTTTATTTGATATATAACGTCAGCCAGTTAAGGAAAATAAATTACCACATTCTCAAAAGTAAAAAAGTTATTTAGTACGTCTATGCTTATTCTTTCGGTACAATTATTAGTTTCCAATATCTTACCATAGAAAATGTATAGGCGCTTAAGAACATATGACAAAAACGTTGAAACTATGCATAGAAGTAGTCTGTTAGTTGGTTGAAAAACTGAACGTCAGTTGCAGAAAAGCATGCAACATTGATACTTCATTTTTCTTTATCTTTACTATCTTATAAAAGAAATCTCACTGTTTCTAAAAATAGATTCATTATAAAAATAAAATTTTTTAAGACGTTCAAACCATGAAGCTAATAGTACAAATAAACAATAATAAAATAATATTAAACTTTTAAACCCAAACATTCTAGATCAAGTTTACACGTTTGTTTTAATTCTCAAATTCAAATGTCATCAAATTAGGCTTAAATGTCGCCCATATCTTTAGAAAGCTTTTGACCATCTCTTATCATACGCTCCCTAATTTAACACACACTGCAAATTCAAATTGAAATTTACGCTTACCTGATCTCTTTAAGCCACCCTCCCCTAATATAGTCTCTATCATCATAATCTCTCCAAAAACCCTACCGCCTACCATTGTCGTCACCACGGACGTTAGTACAAGCTGCCGGTGTTACAACCTGCTACGACGACCACAATCGGCATCACCTAGAGCCACAGTCACCACTATCTTACGATTTTCCATCAAGACCTTCACCACCAAGTTTGATGTCACCTACAACCGCCACAATTCATAACTCTCACGGTTCACATGTAACTCGATTTATTTTCGTGTATACTTTTTCTTAAGATGTGATTTTCTTTCATTTTGTTTTCTCAATCGCATTGTCTACAACACCTCCTTCTCCATACTTCTTTATTTAACCCCCCACGATTTCATGTCCTAGGTATCAAATGTTCTTGAAGTCTTCCAAGAGTGTATCGAACAAACAAGATAAAGGTTCAGGTTTTTGTTTACTTGGTTTGATTTATGGGTTTTCTTCTCAAGTATTTTTAAAGAAATACACGAGGTTATTTTTCTTTTCTTTTCCCCAGTATAAAATACATAAAAAACACCATTCGGTGTGGTTTTTATTGAAGATTTTACCTTTACGTGAATATTTTGGCTTTATCCAGGGTTTATAGGTGCATCCTTCTTATTCGACATCATGCTCATCTTCTAGATGTGTTTGGTGCTTGGAAATGAACGAAAATCCACATTTGTAAGTTTTTATCTTTCTCATGTTTTATGATTTAGACTTCACTATTTAGATTGATGTGCTCTGTTTATTTTTTGGCATTTTTGTTCTATTAAGACTAACATTAAGTATCATGCGTATTATGTTCTTTTTCTTTTTTTGTAGCTACAGAGAAAAATGTACTTGTTATGCAAATCAGAAAACCGATATTGAAAAAATATCATCTGCAACAGGTCATTTTTTTATATGGCCGTTTCATGTTTTGTCATAATATAATAATAATATCACTTAAATAAAACAATTGATGCATTTTTTATGGTTTATGTGTTAAATAGTTGTTCATTAAGAGTGTTATGTGTTTGAGCGACATCTATGGATTCACATTTTAGGTTTGCAGGGCATGTGATACAACCGAAGTTGAAAGAGAGTGCTATCTAAACGGGTGCTTATTTATGGGAAGTGTCAGATGGTTCTTTTTGTGTGTAGGATGGTAAAATAATTGGGCATCATTGATATAACCTATCACCGAAAGAACCTACGTGCTCCGCAGCTTTGCGCGGGTACACTGCTAGTATTTTTTAATACCAAAAAGCATGCAACATGGATACTTCCTTTTTCTTTATATTTTTTAATACCAAAAATAGTAAATGCAAACATGTGGGATTTCCATGTGTATAGTTTTCCAATTGACATGGGTGACTTCTTGCGCCAAAATTTACATGTTAGTTTGGTGTCACTGTTTAACAGGTATTCACTTTTAGTTGATTCAACACTGCCTTTAGAAAGTTCGAAAATCCTAGGCTTAAGATCATCTTGTTGAAACAATTGATGAAAACGTAACTAGATTTACATATTTTTAATGTAATCAAATCCAAATCTACGTTAACTAGATGAATCCTCGACTTAGATCTTAGTAAATCCCCATATTGAGCCCTCACACCCTTTGCTCGTTCAAACTCTAAGAGGGAGAGTAAAGATAGTTACTCTTATACTTTAGGTAGTTTCACAACTAAATCTCCTGTATCATTTCATTTAAGCCACATGTTGACCTACAAGTTGATAGGTGTTATAGGTTATAATTCAAAACATGAGGCGAAATAACTTAATCCTTAACTCCACATACAACCTATTTGGATTTAAGTTTTCTCTATTGGTAACAATAATTAATGAGCATCAAGAACCCTAACAAGGCCCTACAATTATCAAAAATAACAAGGGATTAGGGTTTATTATGGTAAATAATCAAATCAATTCAATTCTTCAAATACCTTGGAAAGCAAGCAACAAATTATTGATGCCTCTAATGGTTTGTATCAAAACCCTAACAATTAAAACACTTGAGAAGAGATGATGAAATTTTTGGCTCTAGCCTTTCTAAAAGGAGTGAGGATCCTAAGGGTTCTAATTATCTCTAAGGATAATTCTAGAACCCTTAAGGCTCTTCTAAAACCATCCCGTCTTGGGAATGTTCTGAAATCTCTCTTGTTCAACTATTGAACAATTACAACTTAAGTTCATGCACTTTTAATTAATCCAATTAATCTCAATATTAATTCCAACTAATTTATGATTAATTATTAGTTAAATACAATTAATATATTAATTTCGTAATATACTAAAAAATATTTATTGCTATGTATTAATCATATAATAAATCAATAAATCAACATCTCTCTTCAAAAGTCATTCTAGTAAATTATTACTTTTGAAACAATTGATGAAAACGTAACTAGATTTACATATTTTTAATGTAATCAAATCCAAATCTACGTTAACTAGATGAACCCTCGACTTAGATCTTAGTAAATCCCCATATTGAGCCCTCACACCCTTTGCTCGTTCAAACTCTAAGAGGGAGGGTAGAGATAGTTACTCTTATACTTTAGGTAGTTTCACAACTAAATCTCCTGTATCATTTCATTTAAGCCACATGTTGACCTACAAGTTGATAGGTGTTATAGGTTATAATTCAAAACATGAGGCGAAATAACTTAATCCTTAACTCCACATACAACCTATTTGGATCTAAGTTTTCTCTATTGGTAACAATAATTAATGAGCATCAAGAACCCTAACAAGGCCCTACAATTATTGAAAATGACAAGGGATTAGGGTTTATTATGGTAAATAATCAAATCAATTCAATTCTTCAAATACCTTGGAAAGCAAGCAACAAATTATTGATGCCTCTAATGGTTTGTATCAAAACCCTAACAATTAAAACACTTGAGAAGAGATGATGAAATTTTTGGCTCTAGCCTTTCTAAAAGGAGTGAGGATCCTAAGGGTTCTAATTATCTCTAAGGATAATTCTAGAACCCTTAAGGCTCTTCTAAAACCATCCTTTTAAAGATTAATGTGTTGCATCTCGGGCCCTTTTGTTTTACAACTGGATTGGGCTTGTCAATCCATGTTTATCTAGATTAGCCTCCTTTTTCTTAGATAAACTGTTAGGGTTTTAATATAAATATATGCATGCATGTATGCGTATGGAGGAGTAGTCATCATTCTCATTGATTATTGTAAACCCTAAAATCCTCTACAGTTGATGTTCTTTATCGAGCTCTTCTGAGGATTGTTTATTAATCATTCGACACCTTTTGATCCATTTGCTTGTTCTTATTGTTTATCTGATTATTTCTCTACCTGTTTCATAGATCTAATCGATCTTCAAGTTTATTTTTAAACTTATCAAGTGGTATCAGAGCAGGAGGTTGTGTAATCGATACACTTCTTTTCTGTGAAAAAGCTTCGATTAGGGTTATTCCGCATTCATTGATATTTATTGAGCCGTCATCTCATAATTGACGTATCTCGATATTTATTGTTTTTGCCCTAATTTGATATATTACAAGTCTGATCTTTAAACAGGTTATTCGATCAATTATGGACGAATCGCAATCCAATCCCATCTATATTTCAAACAACATTGGATCAACAACGAAGATTCCCATCCTGTACACCCATGATTATGAAGTCTGGGCGAATCACTTTGAAGATTATGTCATAGGATCTGAGGATAATGGATACCTCATCTGGGAAGCAATCATCTCTAGACCTTTTTCTCATTCAGCAACTTCAATGATTATTAAAACTCAAAAGGAGTATAACGATCTTTTGAAAGATGTTAAAGATGTAGCGCAAGACGAAAAAGTTAAATTTCAGTGCAATATCAAAGCGTTAAGATTGATCAGATTTGCTCTTCAATCCGATACTTTTAGGCTGGTAAGTTCATGCACGACTGCAAAATACATATGGGACAGGCTACGTGAACTGTACTCTACAGACGAAGATCTTGAACACTCCATTCAAACCTTACTCTTGTCTGAGTTTGGTGAGTTCAAGCAAGGAACAGAAGAAACGGTAACTCAAACGTTCGATCGCTTCAATCATCTTCTTAGCAAGATGATCAAACATGACATCGAAAGGAAGCTTATTGAACAGAAGGTTACGTTTTTGAA